GTGGAGAATAAGTGACATAATATATTCGAAAGAGACCCTTAATATTCATTTCCCCTCTCAGTCTCCAAAAAAAAAAAAAAAAAAAAAAAAAAAAGCAAGGTTAGAGTCGTTCACGCAGCACTGCTCTTTTAGGTTTTTGTTCAGAACAAGCCTCTGAACCATATATATACAAATGCATAACTGACTATCGCCTAAGGACACACCAAAAGAGGTGAGATATCATTCCTTCATCATTAAATACTATGTTTTGTGGGGCGCCTGGGTGGCTCAGTTGGCTGAGCGTCTGACTTCGGCTCAGGTCATGATGTCGCGGTTTGTGGGTTCAAGCCTGTGTTGGGCTCTGTGCTGACAGCTCAGAGCCTGGACCCTGCTTTGGATTCTCCCTCTCTCTCTGTCCCCCCCCACCCCCCGCCCCCACACTCTGTCTCTCTCTCCTTCAAAAATAAATAAATATTTAAAAAAATTTTTTAAATACTATGTTTCGCTTAATATTTAACATATCTAATGACTATTTCCCCACTAACGTAAAATTAATGGAAGTATAATCCAGTGCACTACATTAACTTATTCAACAAACATTAATGATCAGTGATTCAACAAACATTTTCTCCTCATTGCAAGACCTATAAAGAGCGCTAGGTATGGAGTTTGAACAAAACAGGACAAATAGATCTCTAATGCCATGGAGTTTACCAAGTTACCTTCAGGGAATACCACCTAGAAGAAATTCTTGTGCCTATGGAGTGCAACTATTCAGTCAACAACAGGGTATGGAAAATTGCTTATGTCGGAGTGCCTGGGTGGCTCAGTTGGGTAAGTGTCTGACTTCTGCTCAGGTCATGATCTCACAGTTCCTGAATTTGAGCCCCACATCAGAATCTCTGCTGTCAGCACAGAGCCCGCTTCAGATCCTCTGTCCCCCTCTCTTTCTGTACCTCCCCTCCTCTCTCTCTTAAAATAAATAAACATTAAAAAAAGAAAAAAGAAAATTGCTTATGTTAAATGCATAATGCTGAGGTCTGTAGTATCACTGCCAAACACCTATTTCTATTTTTTTAATACAAAGAAATGCTACAGTGAAATATACCACATGCAAAATATTAAAAAATGATCATGACCATTTTCCTCTGATGTACCAACAAATATTTTGGAAGAAGGAACTAAAAAGCCATATTTTGTTTCAGATCAAATAAAAAAGATTTGAACAAATAAATGTATATATACACTTTTTCAAAGATTCTTCAAGTTAATTTTGCAAACATCCTCATTTTGTCTACTAAATTTCCAACCATTCATTGACTCTTGTATATCAGTGTCACAGGAGCACATAATAAATATTGGAACGTCTGGATTCCAAATAAACACACTTGGATTTTGAAAAGGGCTTAATGGATATACTTTATTAAAATGGTGTTTTGAACACTGAGATATATGATTTAAGTCTGCTCACAATTACTCTAATACATACATTTAAAAGAATGGTCAAAGCAGCAATCATATCAACTCACTGGGAAAAGCACAAAGTACACCCAAGCAGCACTTTGGTTAAATTATAAAACAATGTACACAAGAGCACTTCAGCAGAAATTAAATTAATTCAGAACACATTAAGCTGCTAAATTTTGTACTGGCATCCAGTGGTAGAACCATGGTAGAATTCCATGGTTTCACAGCCCGGAACACTCAGTTGACCATCACTGGACCATTTCAACCATCTAACAACCAGTGGGAGCTGCCAGAGTCAGTCAGTCTCATTCCAGATGCCAAAAGCAACAGGCAGGTCATCACATTTGGCTTCTAAAGACATGACATTTTATTTCTGCTGAGGTCATCCAGATAAGTGAATCTCATGAATACAATAAAATGTAATCCAACCAAAATTTTATGTCGCTTTCCACAGACAAGGGTATGTGAACAACTGAAATGCTAAATTCAAACCCATGTTTGTATTTAACTGTTTGATGCTAAACTTTAACCATTCCTTCCCCTCACCCTGCCTTGGCTCATTTTCTTACTATCATATTACCATGAAATAAATCCTTGTCCTTTCTTAGAAAGGAAACTAAATGTCCTTTCTGATATTGAGGAGTTCACATAGGCCTAATCATTCTCTGCCAGGATTCTTAGACAAAAAAGAATCAAATTCCACTTTGAAAACATAATTTCTATTTAGATTATGTGCTAATAATTCATCAATGCAAGTAATTTTTTTTTTTATTTTGGAACTTGAGAAAAGTTCACATAGTAGAGTACAGAGATTCTAAACTGATCCCTTCAAAACTAATTTTTTTCAGAAAAAAATGCATAAGACTTTGAAGCACTTCAGAAACACAAAAATCTACAACAAATGAACAGTTGATAGAGAGCAGGACTGCATTTACTTGTGAATATACAAGGTACTTAAGAACTTATACTTGTGAAAAATCACAATGATTTTAAGCATATTTTGCCAAATAAATGTTGGCAAATAGTTTGGCAACACGTTTTATAAAGATGATTTATGTACTACACATAAATGAAAGGCAAACATAAATTACAATGGATTTAAATTTAATTACATTAATATAATCTGCATTATACCTATACCCACATGTTAATAACCACATAGCAAATTCACAGTTATAACTAAAAGACTATATTTAGAACAGTTCTTTTTTTTCACTACTGTTTGCATAATTCCTTGTAATAGGCCTAGAAGCTGAAAACATGTAAGCTTATTATCTTTTGTGGATTATAATAATCTACAAATGATACTTTAACATTGTGGCTTGAAAAACAAACATCAATATGTTTTTATGCTTAAGAAAAGTTGACCGATTTCTGCTTTTTGGGTAAAGCAGAGCAACACCCACCCCAGACCAAGGCCGACACAGCCCTACAAATTTGTCTTTGTAAACCTGGCAATCCACCTCAGTGAATCAGTGACTTCTGAGCTTGACGACATCACTCCCACTCTCAGTTTTTAAAGTAAAAGAGAGGAATAGTAATGTGAAGAATTCAAATCAGAAATGAAACCTACATTTTCAGAATGTCATTTTGTGCTTTAGAGTTTTCGTCTGCTTGTTACTTCATAAGTTCTCCATACTACTAAATGACGCTTCTACATTTAGGTTCCGGGACCTAACTCAGCAAGAACAAGAAAGTTTTCCAGCTTTCTTAGCCTACTTTTGGTTCCTCACTTCCCAGACAATGAACAGAAGACTGTTTTCTTTCCTGTAATGTTCTTTACTTTTCACTAAGCTTCCTTGAAAATAAAAAAAAAATTCAAATATTTCTTTGTCACCTTTTTTATCAAAAGAAAATTCCTGATTAATATATGCAGGAAAACTCAAGATTTATTTTCTTCCATTCCCAAAAAGGTGAGAAGATGTGAATATTTATATTGGGCCCTCTTCCTTCTAACAAACCTTTAAATAAAACATAAAGACAGAAAAAAAACTCAACCATGAAAACCCAAAGTGGAAGGAATAGACTGTATCAACTTGACCTTCTTGGTTTCTTTTTTTGTTGTTGGTTTCTACAACAAAACTCCACGCCATTCTTAACACTCAGCATTTTTCTCACATCCTATTATTTTATTTGCACATTACCTAGAGCAATGTAGCTTCAACATGCTAGTCTGCTTCTGTGTTTTCTGAATAATTTACCTGCCATAAAATATCTCTGCCATTTTCAATCTATTTCTTCACCTGCCAATAACCATTTGTTCTCCACTATAAAGCTGTCCTCTGTCTGTCAAGAGCCCTTGCGATAAACATATTAATAATTTAAATCTCACTGGTGAAGGAGCTATGCAGGATTGTTCCCTTTATCTCTATTACTCCAAAATTTACATATGTACATACCCCCACACATATAACAAACTTACATTGTCTGCAAAATAAACTGCAGATATAATTTCAAACACGCATGTAGAGATTCACATTTTAACAGCAAACTTACATGCAGATATAAAGTAGAGTTTTACATTCCTAAATTACATTAGCAAGCTGAAATATAGAATGCTTTAACGTTTTAGATTTATTCTTTGCTTTGAATCTTAGAAAGAAGCAAAAAGGAGACATAAACCTTACGCTATCTCTCTCATATTATCAGACAATGTGGTATTATTTTTACTGACAAATTATCCAACTTGCTTATTCTATACAAAAGGTGATATAAACATACTACATATAAAACACAAAACACAGAGTTAAAGATAACAAATGGAAACTTCATACAAAATACTGGATACCATCAGTATTTAAGTTTGTATGGCTTTGACCAAAAGATTCGGCCTGTGCATACTCTTCTGATATAAAGAAGTAGTCTATGTATCTATATACCATTCTTAGCTACAGAAAAAGAGGCAATGAAGTGGATTGGGGGGGAAGGGGGAAGACCAAGTGACACAGCTGACATTCATAACTGCACTGTTGTAAATATGCATACAATTTAGCAGCGCCATATTATCTGAATTAATGTCTTTTGCATTGTGAAATTTACCAGTAAGTGGTCCAGAATACAAAATATAGTCACACAGAACTCTGTTTTCACACTTACTCCTTGGTAGAACTATTGAAAATAAACACTTGCAGCTAACACATTGCAGAGCCGTCAAAATATCTACTAGTTTTGAAGAACTTGAAGGCAAGAATCTGTTCAAATGAAGAAAGAACAGAAATGATCAGATGAAACTCGTAGCTGCCTAAGAGTTTTAAAAATTAGAAATTTAACATTCAGCAAGTGCGTCAGAACCACTTTTCATTTGCTCACTCAACTTAAAGATTCACCACAGTTGAATTACACATATATTTATACTGAGTACGTACAGTTGAACATAAATATGAGTTATTAATGAAAAACTACTACGTAAATGGTTACTTAGTTTACACTGACTTGTGTACTGATCTAGTGAGTCACAGAGGCATCCAGGCACAGCTGACTTGTTTGATCTAGTAAGTTTCTCGACATACTCAGTGAAAAACTGTTTCACAGAAATTCAAAGTCCCAGCAAGCAGTCACGCCCATCGTCCACTGGAGGCAAAGCTTCTGCTGAATGAGAAGTTGATTTTAGAGCTCTTGTATTTCCCCCAGGCACCAAAAGGCACTACTACTGCAGTACTGTTATCTTCAGTACCAAACTGTATTGCCTGCAAGGTTTGGCAGGAAGGAAGAGAAAAACACAGGAAATCAGAGTCTGTACAAAGAGAAATAATTGTTCCTCTAGAAGGCTATAAACTCATTCAAAATACAGTTACTGGGGCGCCTGGTGGCTCAGTTGGTTACTCATCTGACTTTGGCTCAGGTCATGCTCTCACAGTTCGTGAGTTCAAGCCTTGCATCAGGCTCCATGCTGTCAGTGCAAAGCCTGCTTCGGATCTCTCTACCCCTCCCCTGCTGTTTCTCTCTCTCTGTTAAATTTTTTAAAAATGCGGTTACTAACCCAGATACTTCACAATGGTTTATGATTCATTCAACATGTATCAAGGTCCACACAGTTTATTAGATTGCACATAAAATAACAGATGATCCCTGCCCCCCCCAAACAACCATATTAACTATATCCCACTGTAGCAATTTTAGCAACAGAAATACCAAAAGGACTAAGGTACAAGATATACAGCTCTTGAAGAAAAATATAAAACATTTAGCACAAAGACTAATACAAGGTAAGAATTCAGTGTTAGCTTTTACCTGGCAATTCTGCTTCTAGGAATTTAGCCTAAAAATTAATACCCTAAGGAAATGGATGTGTATAAGATATAATGACAATAAAGTTTATTATGCTCCCTACAAAATGGAAAAGTGGCATAAACTAAATTTTCCTACAGTAGGAGAATTATAAATCAATTTTAGGGACTAATTCAAACAGGAAATGACATAGTCAGCATTGTAAGAAGTGCTTGGGATTATATTCAACAGCAAATGTATTTTAAAAGAATTCACAGCCTGAGGCCAAAACTGTTAAGGAAAGGGTTGATTAAAAATATCTGATATAAAAAGCATCAAAATATAAAGAAGTTTTACAAACAAATTGAAAGACAAAAATATATATACTTAACATATAGGAGGTTTTTAGAATAACGATGACAAAGACAAACATGTCTATAAAAGAATGGAAAACAGCTATCCACAGACAAGAAATACAATGGCTAACAAACCTGTGCAAATGGTTAGTTTCACTAACAAAGAAAAAAGATGCAAACCAAAAACATTAAAATTTGATTTTTTTTTTTACCTATCAAATTGGGAAAAAACTATGACAAGAATTTGGAGAAACAAACTTTATAAACATGCTAGAGAAAAGTATAAATTGGAATATCATTTCTGGAGGGCAATTTGGCAAACTTAGTAAAAGTTTTAGATGGAGCGCCGGGGTGGCTCGGTGGGTTAAGCATTCGATTCCTGATTTCGACTCAGGTCATGATCTCACGGTTTGTGGGTTTGAGCCCCAAGTCAGGCTCTTCACTGCTGTGGAGTCTGCTTGGGGTTCTTTCTCTCCCCGTCTCCATCTTTCTCTGCCCCTCTCCCTCTCAAAATAAATAAATAAACTTAAAAAAAAAGCTTTAGAATACATTGTATTCTTTTTGCCTAGCAATTTTAAGAACTTCACCTGAGAAAATAATACATGAAGGAAGCAGATATGCACAGAGATACAATAAGGTTTATACGGTGCTTCCCCACCCCCCCCCATAAGATGGAAAAGTGAACATAAACTAAATTTGCTGATTAGGGGAACTAGTAAATGAATTATGGCACACAAATATAGTGGAATACCACGGAGTCATTAAAATATCACTACCTATGTGAATGAGAACACATGTATCTCAAAACAGGTAGGTGAAATTAGGAGAGAAGTGATCATCCATGGAATTGGGCCCATTTCTTTAATCTCATGAACACACATAGTAACCAAGAGAATAATTCATGCTTACCCGTCTATTTTCATGCAAATAAAAGTAAGGTATTTTTAAGTAAGGTTTCATGTCTTAATTACAAATATTAGCACATAAAAGTTTGGGCTAAATATGCCTTCCTGGTTGCAAATGTAAGAATTGGGAAATGTAAAAAATAGCTGTTAAATTAAAGCATATCTCTAATGATTAAGCAATGGCTATAACTTAAAAGAGCTATTGATCCAAACAGAATATTAAACAGCACATGGAAATTTTGCATTTTCTTCATTGGGTATTACTGGATATTCCCAGTTTTAGCTCTGACACACTAACACATAACCTATCCATATACCTTTTTAAATTTTTTTTTTTTTTTCACACACCCATTTTTAAAAACCAGAAGTTGCCTATGCTATAGTGTTCTTATACTGGATATTTATTTGGAACAGTTTAGTTTGGTCCAGTGGTTGAATTCAGAAGCTTAACTGGCTGGGTTTGAAGCCCAGTTCCACAACTTGATGGTTTTGTGATCTTGAATAAGTTACTTAACTTCTCAGCTTCTGTGCCTCAGTTTTCCTCATCTGTGATATAAGGGATAATACTAGCTCTAGCCTCAGAAGGTTACTGTGAAGATTGCATGAGTTAAATATGTATGAACAGAAGAGTGTCTGACACATACTGATATTACTATTAACTATTATAATAATTTACTGCTGCTATTACTATCTTTTCCAGATGTGTACAAATCCAAAAAATAAACATAGCACATTCCTTGACATACTAGTTTTACTTAACTATTTGGGAGAATTGTAAAAAAAAATTTAAATTGGAAATATTATGGAGTCAAGTGTAACATTCATTGTAATACTCAGGCTAAAACACGAAATTTCAAAGAAATCTCAAGCCTGTGGCAGCCCCTCCAGGCTGCACCAAGACCTGCATCTGGGTTGTTCTCTCCTCCTCTCCCCCACCACCCACAATTGGGACTTTCTAGCAGAAGCTTTGCTGTGTCACCTGTTCAATCACTGCATGGGCTGCTTCGTTGGGATCATGGCACTGATTGACAAAGTCACAAATCTCTTGACTGTTCACCATGAAGTTAATTCCATCTGTAGTGAGGACCAGGAAGCTGTCATCAGCGTGATGGAGCTGCAATCAGAACCAAATGCATAGACTCAGTCTTTGAATAACCTTCAAAATCCACAAAAATTTTTTTTGTTTGCTGAGTGGTCATCTGTGTTTAAAAGCTTCACATCCAGGCGAAGGGGCGCCTGGATGGCTCAGCTGGTTAAGCGTCCGACTCTTGGTTTGGGTGCAGGTCATGATCTCACGCCTGGGGGGCCGTTCAAGCCCCGCATCACGCTCTGCGCCAACAGCGCAGAGTCTGCTTGGGACTCTCTGTCTCCCTCTCTCTCTGTCCCTCCCTTGCTCAGGCGCTCTTTCTCTGTCCAAAAAATAAACATTTTTTTAAAAAAGCTTCACAGTGAAAATGGAAGGCCTATAATTTGGACAAAATTAGCAACATTTAGCATCAACCACCAGGGACAAACCTAACGTTTACTTAGTATCACCACAAAGGAAGAAGCTAGATAGCCAAACGATGAGAGACAGCACATTGTAATCGTTGGGAGCACTATCTCTGGAGCCAGGCTCCCTGGATTTGAAATCTGCCTCTACTTTTTGGCCGGGCAAACACAGGTAAATTCACCCATGCTCTAGAGTTGTTTTCTCTGTAAAATGGGGTGGGGTAGCTATCCTGAACAGAGCCTGGCACAGAGTAAACCCTATGTAAGTATCTGTTTGACAAAATGAATACAAGTGAACTAACTAGAAGACAAGGAATCATTCAATTAACAATCATTCGCTGCCATTATTGGGAGCCTACACTATCCTGTGCTAGGTACTAGCACATGCAGAGAGGGAAGTGTCAGCTCACAACTGGGTGTGTGTTAGGGGAAGTGTAGTGTAATGGAGGCACTGATTAGTAGCATACAAAAGATGTCAGAGAAACAGAGGTGGGGCGATTATTTCGTTTGGTGGAAAAGGGAAGTGAGGGTCACATTCCAAGTGGTGGTGACTGGATGATCACGTGTAGGGGAGGAAGGGCAGTAGAGCCATTCTACCAGGTGAATTCCAGTGCAGAGTGAAGCAAAACCAAACCTCACTTCATCGTACAGTAGGCCAGTATCTTATTTTATTTGAAAAGTTCATCTCATCTATCCTTCCATAAACTGCTCCTTTTAAAAGCCATGTTGGGGGAGGGAGGGTGCCTGGTGGCTCAGTTGGTTAAGCCTCCGACTTCGGCTCAGGTCATGATCTGGCGGTTCATAAGATTGGGCCCCACATTGGGTTCTGTGCTGACAGCATGACAATCCTGCTTCAGATTCTGTGTCTCTGTCTCTCTGCCCCTCCCCTGCTCATGCTCTGTCTCTCTCTCTCTCTCTCTTTCTCTCAAAAATAAATAAACATTGGGGCGCCTGGGTGGCTCAGTCAGTTAAGCGTCCGACTTCAGTTCAGGTCATGATCTCACGGTCCGTGGGTTCGAGCCCCGCGTCAAGCTCTATGCTGACAGCTCAGAGCCTGGAGCCTGTTTCAGATTCTGTGTCTCCCTCTTTCTCTGACCCTCCCCTGTTCATGCTCTCTCTCTGTCTCAAAAATAAATAAATGTTAAAAATAAAATAAATAAATAAATAAATAAATAAACAAACAAACATTAAAACAATTAAGAATAAATAAATAAATTAAAATAAATTAAGATAAAACAAAAGTCATGTTGGTCAGCGGGCACCTGGTGGCTCAACTGATTAAGTGTCTGACTCTTGATTTCAGCTCAGGTCACGATCTCATGGTTTGTGAGATGGAGCCCTAGCTGTGGTTCTGAGCTGACAGCACAGCACTGAGCCTGCTTGGGATTCTCTCTCTCCCTCTCTCTCTGCCCCTCCTCCCCACACACACTTGCTCTCTCTCTCTCTCTCAAAATAAATGAATAAGTTAAAAAAAAAAAAAAGTCATGTGGCTGCAATTAACAGCCACATGACTATGGCTTTCTTTCTAAGAAAGCCTGTAGCTGGGAACAATCCTGCATCCATTCTTTGCATACGTAGCAAATGTTTGCAGGTTCTTTGTTACCTTGACCCTCTTTGTTTCTGGTTCTGCTATCACACCGCTGGTTTTAAGATCCAAATCTCCAAGACTCCTTGTCATTGCAAGTCTGCCATTCACATGAGGCTGTCCCAAACTATTCCAAGCCACAAAGCCACCACATTTCTTGATCCTGGTCCAAGAAAAAAAAAGGCTATGACATGATACCCCAGGAACGAAGTCATGGTTAAACTTAAGATGAAATCAGTTTAAAATTCGAGGTTACATTTCTATCTTGAACTATATAAATATGATCTTCACAGAATGATCAGTGGAGATGGTACCTTTCTTTTTCATCTTTTCTTTCTGGAGTATGGTCAATGGTCAGCTTCATGGATTTTCCTTTTCTACACAAAATAGCCCTGCTGTCCCCAACACTGGCTACAACCAGCTCAATACCATCTCTCAACAGGGCTACCGTTGCAGTAGTCCCAGAGGTCAGAAGGGTTGCTGCAAACAGTATTAAAAAGAGGGTAAGTCAGTGACAGTCAAATGATTGGATATGGAATTTTTATTACAAAATAAAACACAGGCATGTTAAACTAACACTGAAATGTATCATTCTAACTTAACTAGAGGTATGCAAATAAAATGCAAATGAACTATGTAAGTAAGAGCATGCAGAGAAAGAAGTATTTAATTCAGTAACAAGGCTCCATGCAAACAGAAAAAGTTGCTAACCTAATTTGGTAAAAAGTGCATCACTGTCTCCAAATGGCCTCTATATAAAGTAAAACTGACTTGAACATATAATTATGACAGCCTGTGTCTACGTCAGCTGTCAGGATTAATAGTATTTTAATGAGACTGGTTAATACAGCAGGATGACTTTTAGGTATGAGCCCATTCAGGCAAGCTGACTTTTCTATAATCTATGCACTCAGAAGATTTTCTCTTCCATTTCTTACTCCTATCTTGTGAAAGTATTACCGGTTAATAAGCTAAGCAAGAATGCCAAGGGCATACCATCTGCTCTTAAAGTGCTGTATTTTATATTCTTTCCTTTTACAATGGTTCTAATGTTATAAATGTTCACCAAAAAATCCTAAAACAGTTAAAGGTTCACATTCTTTTCTACTTATCTTTGTCCTTCCCACACATGAAACAAAGTTACAGCCATCATTATATTAGGAAAGTATGGGAGGGTGGAGAATGAAGTTCATTCTAGCTTCCCATATGCTTCCTTGGAGTTCACATTTAATTTTCCCTGACCAAAATCAAAATTAAATGTTACTTGGCCTGAGGTCGTCATTGTTTCCTTCATCCAGTCCAAACTGCATTTTTGCATCTTTCTTTGATTTATTCGAACAGTGTCTGCCCTACTTTCTTTATCATTTGTTACAAATTTTGAAGGTGCATTGAGCCTTGCCAAAAGTGAGAATAAGGGAAAAGTGAAATTAAGGGCTAAAAAGTAAAGCAAACTGGAAGAAACTGAAAAAGACAACTTATTTAAAGCAGGTATTATCTTCAATAACATGGTTAATTCTTTAAAGCATCTACATAAAATACTCAGGTGATCATCCAAAGATGTCTTCTACAAAAGTAGGTTTAGGAAAAATGAAGTGCTACTGATTTGACTGAATAAGGCTCAATCTTACCAATTTTTTTTTTCAAAAAGACAATTTAAAAAATTTCATCAGTAATGCATTTTCGAAGGATATATATACTTATATACATATATATTTATTCCAATTGGTATATTAAAATGCCTGCTTTAATCAGAGAAGTAAAATGGAAAAAACATTAATAAACCCTACTTAATCTTTTATATCCATGCTCAATCTACTTTCTCGAGAAATAGCATTTATAGTTGCACTATCTTCCCATTTATCTTTTGATTTTGGAACTGTTGTGCAAGGTAATATCTCTGCAATGCTAAAACATATTACATATTTGTCACTGTATAACGTAAATGTCTTAGCATAAGTATCAGTGATGTTTACATTATAAAAGTTAACTTTTGAGTTTCCGAAAACATTATGTGATGGAATCTTCACAGTTTCACTACTGTGATTTTTTTCCAATGATGGGAAGAGCCAGGAAGAGAACACAGGCATTTACTTAGATGCTACCTGTCCAGGGAACTTAGTATTCCTCTCCTTTGTCTAAATGGTCAGCAGCAGCTGTTTTAAAAAGTGGTTTTTAATTAGTTACATCAAAAGAGTTAAAATTTCATAAATAAAAACTTCCAAGTTTAGCTGTTTAGGATTCTATTGTAATTCATGGCTCTGCCCCCTAGGAATTTAAAAGAGCTTGATTTTAAGGGCACGTGGGTGGCTCAGTTGATTGAGCATGCTCAGGTCACGATCTCACAGCTCGTGAGTTCGAGCCCTACATCGGGCTGTCTGCTGTCCACACAGAGCCACCTTCAGATCCTCTGTCCCCCTCTCTTTCCGTCCCTCCACTGCTCTCTCTCTCTCTCTCTCTCACACACACACACAAATAAAAGAGCTTGAGTTTTTACCATCCCATCTTTACAGTTCCAAAATCCCAGATTTATGGGAAAGTTTTCAAAACTGACTGTTGATTCTGGCTTGCTAAGCATCTAAGAAGTAAATATTAAATAAGCATTTATTTCATTTAACATTTAACATGGAAGTAAAAAGTCTCACTTTTGCCCTAACAACAGAACTATGAAACTAAGACATCTGTCAATAAGGTCTTAACACTCACTGGACATTTCCTACTGCAAGTCATCTCAACTAATGGGACAGAGAGGATGTGGGAACCTTCCAGTAGTCCAGGCTAGGAACCGCTGGACTCCTTCACCTGGGACAAAATTAAGCAGATCTCTCTTTCCACTGAAGCCCAGCATATAGTGTCCACGGGCTCCAGGTCTAGAGCTGCTGACCGGGCACAGTTCTCTGCCACAAATAACACGCACAGAGGCAAATAGGAAATTCACCCAGGAATTGTGCTCAAACATTACAAACCTGCAACACAGGGGAGGACAGAGAAAGAGCTGCAAAATAAGGGCAAGGGTTTTTATTTTGGTAGAAATTTCACTAGCAAATTATATAATATTCCAGGAGATGCCAAATCAGCGATTCCAAGACTCAGTTTACCTAAATTGATGGTATTTTGTAGTTGAGTCTATTTTTTCATCAGAGTAAAACTTCTCAGTTTTACAGCTTCCCAAGGCAGGAAAAACTATATACAAACACATGTATGCAAAACACATATGTTGTATAACACAGTCACACATCTATATACTCATTTTCTCTCTCTCTCTCTCTCTCTCTCTCTCTCACACACACACACACACACACGCATGCATACACACACACACTTCAACAGTCCTGAAAAGTAAATCAGTACCTTTACTGAGTTGAAAAAAAAAAAAAAAACTGTCAATTTGTTTTGTGCTAATATCAGAACGGTCCCAATAACTAACAGGAAAATTCATGGGAATAGCAGTGAATAATTTGATTCTGACAATTTAGAGAGGATGTGAACTACAGTATACCACCAAATTAACTGGGATTTAAATTTGTATCAGGAAGGAATCAAAGCACCTCCTATACCAAGATACAAGAAGTACCATATTTGTTAATGAGGCTTGATGCATTGTTTTGGAATAGAATGATTAATTAAAATTCATTGTTTAAATATAGGCTAGTGAGGCTCTTGAGTGTTAATGCATGTTTATAAGTTTATGTAATTCATAAAATGGGTATTTCTGCAGCTCTCTCTTTTCCCCGGTGTTGCAGGTCGACATATCAAAAGAAAAATGATCAAGATTTTGAATGGCAACATAAGAGTAAAAGCTGTACTTTTCAAAGTATAACCCCCCTGGCAATTACTGTTTACTGTGTAAACAATTATCTGTATAAACCAATACGCTTTCAATATTTATTAAACATGGGTGTTCTGGACATGTATGACTCACGAACACCAAAATCAAAGTAATGAGCTGAAGCAGTAACAGCACAGTAAGTATCTCTTCCACATTGTCCCTATTGTTTTTCCTTTTGGCTGCCCTCAGTGTGAGAAGGGTAGTCAAAAAACCGCCTTTCTAACACTGGTTATTTTGTAGAGATCAGATAATGTGAAGAGCATGGAAGTTTCCAGTGGAACTCATGATGCTATCACCAACATCTCACACTCTGAAATCAAAGCAAGACTTCTCTTTCTGATTCATTTGTCTCTTGGGGAGCTTTGCGGCTTTCAAACCTTATGCAATCTAGAAACCCTTGGGAGAGTTTATAGGACATACAATATATAATCTTAGTTTTCTACCATCCCATTTGTTTTAAGTGATAGTTTGTTCATAAACAGTAGAGTAATGGGATATCATTTGAATTTACTGCCTGGTTTCATTAATTGTAATAATATATATAACTGGCATGAATTACAAAACATTTAAAGACGATGATGAAATTAGCTTCATAAATAAGGGTGATTTCAAAATGTGTCAACAACAAATCAATAAAAAGAGCCAGCAATTTTGTAAGGTCAAGATTCTTGCAGTTTCTTCATAGGTGGCACTCTGATTTTATTCTCCTCAAACCACCCCACTTTAAACTGAAATAGTAACTATTTTTTTTTAATTTTTTTAATGTTTATTATTTTTGAGATAGAGACAGAGACCAAGCAGGGAAGGGGCAGAGAGAGAGGGAGACACAGAATCAGAAGCAGGCTCCAGGTTCTGAGCTGTCAGCACAGAGCCCGATGCGGGGCTTGAACTCACAGACTACGAGATCATGACCTGAGCCGTAGTCAGCTGCCCAACTGACTGAGCCACCCAGGCGCCCCGAAATAGTAACTATTTTAAATGCTAATGGGATAATTGGAAGCACTTTATGCAGATGTGACAGCTTTGGACCAAAGTCTTGAAAAGAGGAAAATGTTTTACGTTCACTTTATTTCTTTTACTTCCCCTCAAGAACGCTAATATAGTACAATTGAGGGGTACTTCTCCCATTTATACCCCCAAATTCCACCATTAGTGATTCATTCCTAGGTTTTAACCTGTCTCTTTTCAGGCTCCCCCTACTTAAAATTCAAATCCACCCAGGAGTGATAATTCATTAAAACATATATGTTATATTAATAATTTGGTTAAATCGGCTCCAGGATAATCAAAGAATAAGTTATAATAACTTTGGTGAGTGGGGTGCCTGAATGGCTCAGTTGCTTAAGCATCTGACTTGGGCTCAGGTCACGATCTCATGGTTGGTGACTTCAAGACCTGCATTGGGCTCTGTGCTGACAGGTCAGAGACTGGAGCCTGCTTGTGATTCGGTATCTCCCTCTCTCTCTGCCCCTTCCCCTCACACTCTGTCTTTGTCAAAAAAAAAAAAAAAAGAATAAACATTAAAAAATACTTTAAAACATAACTTTGGTGAGAAAGAGCAGGCATGAAGATCAGTTCAGTCCAAATAATCATTGAGCGCCTTCCAGATTCTGTACAGGGTGTTTGTTGAGCACTGGAGATTCAAAATGAGTAAGCCATGGTCCCTACCTTTAAGCTGCTCACTGGAAGGGTTCAAGGACAGGAAATGGGACTGATGCTGATAGAAAAGGTAAAAGCAACTGGAGGGGGCAAACTGCACTTACTTCACCATTTTATTTAACTAGCCCTGGGTCCTAATATAACTTTGCTAAAAGGAATATTATCCACTCTTATAATACTGGTACCGCTTCAGTTCTTACTAAAAACCAAAACTAAAGTGTTTTAAAGTTAAAGAATAACTTTGAAATCTGAAACGAGGTATGTTCTTTTAATACACAAATTGAAAAGTTAAACAACTTACAGCGTTCTGTCTTTCAGTGGTTTTAACATATTTGATAAAACGGGCCCCAACTATCAAAAGGCAATTTTTAGCAAGGTTGAAAGCCTTGACAACTTACTACGAATAAATCTCAAAGTTGTTTTCAAAATACTTATTTAAACACACACACACACACACACACACCAAGTGATCTATATGAATACATATAAAACGAGATTTAAGAACAACAATGTCACAGTAGACCCCTTTCTTTTAGCAGCACACTAGGTATCATTCTGTTGTGCCCCATTATACTGGCAAACAAATAAATGGCTATTAAACAAAAGTAAATTTTAAAATATCTTATGAAAGGTCTGAGATCATTAACTCAAAGCATAGGATGGATGAACTCAGTTAAATAAATACAGTTTAAATTTCTTATTCAAAATTAATTATATTTTTATGATTAATTTCTTTGCACAACTGTTTATGAGTAAGGCACCTTTAGAAAGTTTCTTTTAAGGTAGGCAAGTTAAACAAGTTCTTTCCCTAAGTTCAAAATGCTCTTTAATTATATTTATTATTTAATAAATGAGAGGGCTCCTCTCATCTTTTGCACCGAATCTATCAGTTTTAAGCATCTTTGTCAATTAGATCCTTCATAGAAGGGCTGACTGCACCCATAAAGGGTTAATGTTTTGACTGTGGGCCACATTCCCAGGATAAACTTGTCTGCCTCTGAAAACCTTGCCCAGCAGGCTACCTGTTTACAGAACAGCCAGGATACCCACTTGCACTACAGCCAGCAAACATTGTGGTATGAGATACAGCCAACCTGGTAATGGATGAAACAAAGGCACACCAATATTCAGAGTTATAAAGATAAAACTATAACTGTTTTAATGTTCTCTTACACGTTGTTATCCATCAGGGACAAGAGCTAAATCTTCTACCTAAAATGTACCTTCTCTCAACCTCTCTTTTCAAAAGCAAGGAGCCAGCTGGAAGGGAAAAAGTCCAAAGGCATGAAGAAGAGAAAATGAGTCAAGTCAATCTATCAATGAGAAAATAAATCCCTGAACAAAGAGAGTGGAATCTAATGCTTTTCCAAGAAGTACGATGATGGTAAGGTTCTCAAAAAAAGGGCAGGAAAAATCTCGTAAGATGGCAAATAGAGCCATCCTAGTCATCTTCTGTATGCTTTATCAATAAACATGCCCATGAGAGAGGCCACTGTGGGTGCCAGGAAAATCCCAGCCCTCACTCTGCAACTGGCCTTATCTGCAATTTGAGGAGAATTTCCATCCCTATGCTCTCTCACTGAAAATTGTGAAATGTTATTTTCTGTGATGCTTTGACTTCCTTTAAATAAAAAGATGAACCAAACACTGATTAATATTGCATGATTCGCTTTCAAATCAGTTATGAGGTCTGTATGTGTACATTTACATGATCACTGCAGAAGTTTTCAAGATTATCTTTATGAGCAAAAGATTTTAGGGCCAGCTAACTAGAAAACACTAGCTACATTTTTCTGAATGCTTTTGATAAATTTAGTCAAAATCAGAAACATTTTACTTTCCAAATTTAAGGATAGCACACAAACTTTAAATTGAGCTGACATGCCCTTGTGTTTAACAAATAAAAACAAAAATATCACTATTTACCACAAAGCTGCAAGAGCAGGCTTTTTCAGAAGTGGGAGAGGGGCACCTGGGTGGCTCAGTTGGCTAAGCATCTGACTTTGGCTCAGGTCATAGTCTTGCAGTTCGTGAGTTCGAGCCCTGTGTCCAGCTTTGTGCTGACAGCTCAGAACCTGAAGCCTGCTTCAGATTCTGTGTCTCCTCTCTCTCTGCCCCTCCCTGCTCATGTTCTGTTTCTCTCTCTCTCTCAAAAAATGAATAAGCATTAAAATAAAAAAGTGGGAGAACACAGATCTTTCTTCTAATTAAAGAAAGTAGTGCATATTAGCCATTGTCTTTTCTTATTTAGGACCAGTTAGTAATTTTTTCTTATCTTCTACCTGGCTAAACAAGACTACCCAATAGTGTATTTCAGTACTTGCTCATCAGATTCATCTAAAAAAACAAAAACAGTAAACCCTCTCATAGTATGGACCTTTTATCCATAAAAAGAGCAAATTTTAAAAATCTTAAATCTTTTAAAAATTTAAATTCAATATCAGAACCATTTTAGAGCTTCAATTTTTGAAAATGTCTCCAATATACTTCATTTAAAAGTGAGGTGCTAACATTACCTTGGATTCCAAACAGCATTTAAATTTATCCCTTATATAAAATCACTTTCAACATAAGCATCCTTACAAATAAATTTACATTAAAATTCCCACCCCTAAAGGGCTTAAGTTGTTTCCTCTGTACTAGATATTCCCCAGGCCCCTACAGAATGTGATTGTTTTACTTACCATCAGCAGACAGGTGGGCATGCCTTGCAAAGGCTTTATCTATTTCTAGAAAAGCCAAGGTCAACACAGTTTCCAAGTTCTTCTCCTTAGGAAGCAAATCCCTTGGTGGGGAGAAAAAAAGAGTCCCAAAGAATCATTTTTTTTTTTTTTTTAATTTTTTTTTTTTCAACGTTTATTTATTTTTGGGACAGAGAGAGACAGAGCATGAACGGGGGAGGGGCAGAGAGAGAGGGAGACACAGAATCGGAAACAGGCTCCAGGCTCTGAGCCATCAGCCCAGAGCCTGACGCGGGGCTTGAACTCACGGACCGCGAGATCGTGACCTGGCTGAAGTCGGACGCTTAACCGACTGGCGCCACCCAGGCGCCCCAAGAATCATTTTTTAATAGCTTTCTCTTCTTCCTCTAGCTAGCTGACTAGCTATTATTCCACATAAGGGACCTTCATGGTTCACCTTTCAGATGGACTCTTAAAATCCACAGATTAACAAATCAAATTAGGAAATAACTAAGCACAGACATAAGCCTTTAAGAACGGTAAAATGTAAGTCCAAGTCTTAATCCTTAAAAGATTAATCTAATCCTCTCTATCCACAACCCTGAGAGGTCAAGAGTTCTTTCATATTAAATTAAGCCACGGAGTTCAACATATGAATAAATCAACTGATGAGCAGCATGAATAACTAAACACAGGAAGACAAGAAATAGTCACATGTTCTCCCCCTTTTAATTCAAGCAGTAGTGTGATCCCTTAAAATACATTAATAATAACTGCAATAAATAAACTATTTAAAGACCTCCAAAACAGCCTCGTTAAATGCATTTTCCTCATACTAATGCCAATCATTTAAAGCTATTCTTAACAAATATTCAAAGCTATTCATACCATTTGCAAGAATAATTACCATTTATTGAAGTACTATATGCCATGCACTGGTAGGAGTTAAGTGCTTCTCATGGCACATGAGATCATGTACTTTATGCTAACTCACTTGAAATGATCATAAATCAAGGGCTGTTGATTCTGGTCAATGGCCTCACCAGAGGAGTTGTTAAAACATACATTGCCTAGGGGCACCTGGGGGGCTCAGTTTAAGCATCCGACTTCAGCTCAGGTCATGATCTCACGGTCCATGAGTTCAAGCCCCCCATTGGGCTCTCTGCTGTCAGTGTGGAGGCTGCCTCCGATCCCCTGTCCCCCTCTCTTCGGGCCTCTCTCTCTCTCAAAAATAAATAAACTTAAAAAAAAGAAACATACACTGCCGAAATGGTAATAGCCATCAACCATCAGTAATAAGTGGCATGCTTAAGCTACTGTTTGTTCTTAAAACAACACAATGGAACCACTCAAATAACTAGGTTAATAGTGAATGTTTCAGCCAAAAGCTTAAAGTTTAAACATGAAGTACAAAGCAAACTGCAAAGTGAAGAATTGAGTCATTGTACGTACATGATGCATTTCTCCATGTGGGTGTGACAGAAATCAGCGGCGGCAGGTCCTCCGTGTCCATCGTACACGGCAAAGTACAGGACCTCATCGGTCAGCTGAGCGCTGTCAAACCGGTCTTCGTTCTCTTTCCGCCTGCCAATATGCGAGGCGCAGCCTACATTTTCCAAGCTGATTTTGGGAATCGGCTTGCCATACTTAATGCTGGGCGGCAGCAGAATCGGCTCATCAATACGGTTATCCCAGATCCCAAAATTGTCCCAGGTGGCTGGACGCCCACTGCCATCTGGGTCAAACCGCGAACACCTAGGCTCTGAAGTGGAGCTGTGGCATGTGGGCGTCACCCGCCGGTCGTCCTGCAGAAGGCGGGAGCTCAGCAGCACTCTCCTCCTCACGTGGTTCCCGCCACTTCTGACAAAAGTAATTAAGGCAGCTGTTGACATAACTCAACTCCAGAGGACTCGGGAATGAGGGAAAGGTCGGTAGAACAATAATGGAATGTCTTCAAGAAAAATGATGCGACTGAGGACACAGAGAGAGAGAGAGAGAGAGAGAGAGAGAGAGATGCAATAGAGAGACAGAGACTCCATCAGTAACTTCATATATAACTGATATATCATTGGATATTACCAACATGTAAGGCCATAAAGAATATGGCACCTAACAGCCTGCTCCTAAGAATAGCAGATCAAAAACGAACTGATTTGCCTACCCCTTTCACAGTGTTTAAATTCTATTAAAATGTGCCAATGTATATATATCATATAGAACCTGTTTCTCAAACTTTAACCTACAGTCACCTGGGGAACTTGTTCAAATGCAGGTTCTGGGGTGCCTGGGTGGCTCAGTCAGTTACCAGTCCGACTCTTGACTTTGGCTCCAGCCGTGATCTCACCTTTTTGGGTGTTTGAGCCCCACATAGGGCTCTGTACTGACCGCATGGAGCCTGCTCGGGATTCTCTCTTTCTCCCTCTCTCTCTCTGCCCCTCCCCCACTTGTGCACAGCCGCACACAAATATATAAACTTAAAAAAAAGTAAATAAAATGCAGATTCTGATTTAGTCTGTCCAGGGCGGAGCCTGAGATTCTGCATTTCAAGACAGTAAACTGCTGACCCAGCAGGCCCATACTTTGAGTAGCAACAATATAGAACACGGGTGTGAGTGAATAGTCTTCCTTCATTAACTCCATTGCTCTGAAGAAAAGGTAGGGGCAAATGTTAACAACAACAAAGTCTCTTAAGGGGGAAAGAAATAAGAAAAGTAACTGGTTAATAGAATAGTTATGACAGCTCTGTACTCAGAATGCCCAAGTTTTAGCAAAGACACAACTTAGGATCTAAATTCCATTTTCTTTGAAGATTTGTCAACTTACTAAATTTCACATACTTTATTACTATGGTTAATGTAGAATGGTTCATGCAAACACTCCCAGAGGCTCCAGGATAAGCCATTTCTGATGTGTGTGATCGCTGGGACTGAAGGGAACCACGTTTGTGACTTAAAAGCAACTGATTTATGCATTTACACTACAGCTGCAGGTTTCCTCTCTACAAGCCCAGCAGCCCAGCCCTTCCAAGTACCGCCTGCCGACTGCTGCAGCAGGAGACAGCACCTGACACTAGACTATGTTTCTTTGAAACTATTACTCTGCACCCCATTTCTGGACTCTGTCCCAAAGTTGAATCCAAAGGCCTCCCCTGGGTGTTGTCAGGGGGAATTCCTACACTCCTGAAGGAAGGGCAGTGTTTCTGGCAGTTTTCCATACAAATAAGGTCCTAAGTAAGAATTCAACTCCACAGTACTTTGTTCTGTTCCTTTACGTATTAGAAACCAACTTGAAAAGATTTTATAATGCTGGTGCAGGGTATACAGGTATTATACTATTCTCAGTTGTATGTTTGAATTATTTCACAATAAAAAGTGAACTTGAAAAACTGTATCTCAGCAAAAGCACAAACAAAAACACACTCACAAAGCCCAATTTGAGTGAACCCATAAGTAAATGCATTAGAGATTTCAAACAATCATTTTCAAATACATTTTTGGAAATCAGTCTAGCTCTGTATCAGAACAGCCATTACTCCTTTCATTAAATAAAACAGTAGAAGGAAAGTATGAGTTTCCAAAGAGCGCCCTTGATATCTAGGGCCCAGTGAACAATATATGAGCCCTGCCTCCACAGAATTTAGAATAAAGATGGCCTCCCAAAGAATTAATGTATCATGAAAGACTTAGGAGACCATTCCTTCTTGGCCTTTTAGTTAATATCTTTTAGTACAAAAGACCAAAACTCACTTTTTTATGACAATATTAGGGGTGGAATAGACATAGTATCTCTGGTTATTAAGTATCAAAGAGAAACAACACATTATATTACCAAAAAGAAGTGTTTATAAAGATAATGACTGGTGAAGAAATTTCAGGCTGTATTACCATCTACGCTAGAGAACTAAGTACTGATTACTGATAGAGATAACTCACAGAGCAGCTTTATACCATATAGAAAAAAATAAACCTTTTAAAAAATAAACTTTTAAAATAAAAATTTTAATAAAAATGTATTAGAAACCATTCACATTTGAAGAGTGCACCAGAAATTAGTGAAGTACTATTCTTTTTTCTTTCAAACTGAGGTATAACTGACAACACAACATTATATTAGTTCCAGGTGCACAATATAAGGAGTCTATTTTTGTATAAGCAAAGTACTATTCTTTTGGCTTCAATCTGAAATCATGCGTGCCATATTTGGCCTTGGGCTATTTTGTAGTTGTTCACCTACTTTAAACAAGAGTTCTAGATTTAGAAACAAATACTGAATAAATTTTTTTACAGCTTTTCTAGGTTGCTCTTGTCTTTCTTCTCTCTCTCTCCTCCAAAACTCAAAAAATAAAACAGAGCTGCATTTTAGCAGGAAACAAATATCAACTAGAAACACTTAAGAGTGAAGTAAAATGCAAGTTGGGCAGTTTCTTTAAGCCTGCATGGACTAAAATCAATCATCAACCTGGCCTCCTTCCTCATTTATTCTTTGCACAATCATCTCAGAAAGTAAGCAGAATAGTCATAAGAAATCATTTATTTTATAAGGAATACTATTAGCAGCGATGACATGTGAACCAGATATATAGCTGGTTTACAAAACTAGGTCAGCACCACTTATGCAAGCAGGTGACATTGCATATTTCCAATGCAATAGAACTAAATCATTTAATCTCTATATTCCTTGGGAAACAATTCAAAGAAGACCTGTGTTCCCAAGCTAAATAATGATTTTGAATTAAACCAGCACATCAGGAAAAGTTTCCTCCAGAAATTCAAAAAGTAATCAGCCATTAGCTGCCCCCAGTTCCCCAGATGCCCATGGAAATGACTACACCTTCACTAGCAGACAAAAGAGTATAATTTATGATGTGAAAAAAAACAAACAAACCCAAAATCTGAAAAAAAAAAAAAAAGGCATCAGTGTTCTTCATAACAAAAAGAATGGAGAACTGACAAACACCTAAGAGATATTTTTATTATTTGTCAGCTCAACAATTATAAATTCGCATGCATTTATCATTCTGCAAACTAAAAAAGTTTTTCAGGAATCCTTTATGTCAATCTCTCAGTCAGAAGTCAGGACTAGCTTATATTTTTATAAACCATTTTAACATTCATATTCAAGCTTTGAAAGTAAAAGTCATCCAAAAGAGTCAAAGGGCAGAAGTAATTCTGCTTGAAAGCCATCTAAAGACAAAAATGTCAGAGCAAAAGTTAAAGAGCACAAGAACACATTACCCACACATCATATTCTACTAGCCAAAATAAAATGTAAAAACTATGCTAAGCAAGAAAATAAAGAACTTGACTGGAATTCTAGTGACAGAACAGGTTATACATATCAGCAACCTGAACTATATTGATAGTCATATACCAAAAGGAAAAAGAAAATGGATAATCTTCCTTCTAGACCAAACTTTGCCATAATTCCTTTTTATTTCCCAATCAAAACAAAAATGCATGACCCACAAATTTACTTTAATCACATAAATTTTTTAAGAGTGTGAGTATGCACACACACAGAAACCCAATATAGTCTACATATTGTCAATAAAGAAATGCCAAAAAGTTTTCTGTTTTCATCATTTTCACATTGACTTTTGTGACCGAGACTTCTCCATCTTCCTCTTTAATGCTTTAATGGCTTAATCTGATACTTTAAAGTCCTGACATACGGGGGCGACTGGGTTGCTCAATCAGTTAAGCATCCGACTTTGGCTCAGGTCATGATCTCCCAGTTCATGGGTTTGAACCCCACGTTGGGCTCTGTGCTGACAGCTCAGAGCCTGGAGCCTGCTTCAGATTCTATGTCTTCTTCTCTCACTGCCCCTCTCTTGCTCACACTCTGTCTCTCTCATTGAATAAACATTAAAAAAAAAATTTTTTAAGTCCTGACATAGAAGTCTTTGCCCAGTGAAAAATGTTGGCACTTGGTTTAACAATTCTCACTAGCAGGAGGGATTCTCAGTAAAGAGGGTTAAGTTGGAAATTCGCTGTGAGACCACGAGAGTAGACAGAGATTCTGCATGAGCACACTGCTGAAAACCCACACCCTGAAAGTAGGAAATCTCAGGTGAAATGCATCAGGAAGGAAAAAAAAAATGCATTTGGTTTGTAGTAAACTTTTGAAGTACATACTTGATTTAAAGATAAAAGGTGGTGAAGAAAAGCCACATATACAGCTATAAAATTGCTATGCCAATTGTACATTTTCATCTCACTCCCATTTTATTATCCCTCAATGGTTTAAACACCTCAGAGGTGTCCAAATTTATTTTTGGAAAAAGAGAGGCATTCACTATCTCTGGCAGGAGGGTGCATTTGGGAGTTTAAACAGTTTAAACTGTTGACTGCTGAAAGCAGGTCAAAAGGGCAATTTATGGTTGTAGCTTTAAGCACATGCCAAAATTATTCAGGTCTTCTAAGGTTCAGTTTACAGAAAGGTGTTTAGATCTATCCCTCCAGCAAAAATATTTTAGAAAGTATTCATATTTGTCCATTATAAAGCAGCATTCAGGTATCTTTACATCAGTAACTTCCACAAATGAAACACAAGGTAATTTTAGCATTCTCAAAGCCAGTATTTCTTTTGTCTACTTTTTTAAAGACAACCACTGCCACCCAATACATTCAAATGGTATGGAAACTTCCAGAAAGTATTTCAGAAAATGTGGACTCCAATACCTTCTTTATCAGTACTCTGCTAGGAGAAAGGAAAAGAAACTGTAATAGTCTACATGAGGGAAACAACAACAACAACAAAAAACCACAAAGGATTCCCCTTAGGTTTGATGTTAACATGTTTGGATGTGTGAATAGAGGAAAGAACGTGGGAGTAGTGAAAAGTATTCAATGTTCTAATTCCATATATCTTTTAAAACATCTTAGTTAATGTG